CTAACAGTCAGACCCTAACAGTCAGACCCTAACAGTCAGACCCTAACAGTCAGACCCTAACAGTCAGACACATAACAGATTTAATATAATAAAATTAATTATGCAGATAAATTGTATTTCTCTAACTCACTGCGGCAAATGAAGCCAGGTGCAGGAGAAGGGACACGGCTGTCCTCAGGACTGACATGATGTCCTGCAGGTCCGACTGTCGCAGTCCGATCAGAACCAGAACCACAGACTGTCTCAGTCCGATCAGAACCAGAACCACAGACTGTCTGAGACTGAGGCAGCTGACAGGAGACGTTGATCTTTCTGTGCAGAAAAAAACTAAGTGGAGGAAAAAATGCGACTCCGGTGGGACTCGAACCCACAACCTTTGAATCACTTCTCGAGTGTTTGACTAGAAGTCCAATGCGCTATCCATTGCGCCACGGAGCCACCTGTTGCACGAGGAGACACGAGTCAACATGACGGTAGAAAGCTTTACGCCACTTTGCCTTCATCTTACCTCCTTTCTTTGAATAAAASCGACATCCTTACAGACTTTATCCAATCACAGAGGAGCATATCGCTATTTCACAGCGCGAAGCTAACATTAGCAGCTAAACAGAAGCGCCATCTTTTTTATTCCTACTTCAGTAACGTGACACGTGCAGTTTAACCGTATCGATCTTATTCCAATAATATTAAAGTTTGGTTGAAACGATAAATCAGGTCCTTCCATTTTTTTTATTTTCTTTTTCAGCCACGACGCAGAGGCGACAGAGCTGTAATATTAACAACACAACTTCCGGTTTCTTTGTGCTTGACCTTCAAAATAAAAATCTAACGCGATAAAGAAAGCAACGACATATGACTCATGGTTAATTGTTCTGTTTTTATGAAAAAAGAAAGAATTTCATCACTAACACAGAGAAACTTGTACTTTTCTTTTCTCCACTTAGAAAGGCCGGGACTCGAACCCGCGACCTTCTCTCTGAGAGGCAGATGACACCTGGGAGCTGTGGCCACCAGGGGGCGCTGGTAACACAACCTACAGACCGGACCGGACCGGACCGGAGGTCCTGGTTCCGGTTGTGGCAGACACGTGTTTTAATTTTACAAAGAAGTTATTCCTTTTTTATGTTTTATAATTCAGAAAATATGTGCTAAAACATGTAAAACAAGGAAATATTGTACAATATTTTAAACCATTCAATACTTAAACATTGGGTGTGTGATGAAGTCTAATACTTTAAAATTAACAGTTTTATTAAATGAATTGGTAAATTTAATGAGATGGTGTCTGTGGTTAATTTTCCCATATAAAAACTTATTCATGCATCATAAATTAAGTTACAGTTTATTTATTTATTTATTTATTTA